TAAACTAAATGTTATATTAGTCGATGATATACTAAATAATTATATTAGAATATCTAATAACTATTACGAAATCAAATATTTTCAAGAAACATATAATACTAAAAAATGTTATACAAAATGTTTTATGGATTTAATTGGCGATAAACTACACAAAACATATGAAACTTGTGATATAAATTCATATATAATTAGTTATCTGAAAATATATGAAAAATATGACAACTATTATTCAAATCAATTCAATCAATTAGCTATAATAGGAACGGGAGGTTTTGGTACTGTTTATAGAGTTGATGATAAAGAAACTAATAAATTGTTTGCTATAAAACAGATTATATTTAAAGGTATCAAACATTAAATTTAAATATATATATAAAAAATAATTTTTTAATAATTTTTATTTAATAGATGACAATCGGATAAACAAAATCGCAAAAGAAATTAAACAATTATTAAAACTTCAGTCAAAATTTGTAATCAAATGTTTTGACGCGTGGTTTGAATCCAATATATTCTACATTCAAATGGAGTTATGTTCACAAAGTCTTGAAAATATTTTAAAAATCAAAGCAAATATATTTCAACGAAAATCAAATGAATCGATGAATTCAATCGAGTATTACATTACTAGTCATCTGATGCTTGAATTGTGTGAATGCGTTGAATATCTGCATACAAGACAACCACCGGTTATTCATTGCGATCTCAAACCCGCAAATATACTCATCAATGATAACCCGATTGATAATCGGTTTTTGAAATTATGTGACATTGGTTTGACATCAGATCATACACCGACTGATACACATTCACAACTGTATACATCACGTATAGGTAGTCAACGATATACAGCACCAGAAGCTTATAGCGGACAGTATAATGAAAAACGTGATATCTATAGCCTGGGTATTATCGGTCAGGAATTGTTTGATATTAACTGGAAGTATGAATATATATTTTAATTATTAACTTTTTTTTAAAAAAAAATATAATTTAACTAAACAAATTTTTAATTTTTTTAAAGTGATTTTGATAAAAATAGAAATGTTGTTTATTATAAGTATTTATTAAAAATAAATACATTATTGACATCAATGTTACAACCGGTATATTCAACTCGACCCACGTGTTCGCACATTATTACCAATAGTGACCAATGGATGATAACAAACACGTTTGTAATGAAAAATACGCAAAATTATCAACAAATTGTTAACACTTTAAGTGATCAAGAATTTCTAAAAAATTATTTCGAAATAAAATTTAGGTAAATATTTTTAAATAAAAAAATAGTTTCATATAATTATTTATAATATTTTATTTACATTTTTATAGCTCCAATAACAAGGATGATAATTTTCTCGTTAAAATAATTAATTTTTTTAAAAAATAATAATTTTAAATAATAAAAAAACATTTTAAACAATTTATTTCAATTTAAAAAAATAATAAAAATAATATTTTCATTATGCATTAAATACTATTATTATATAAGATATAAAATATTTTTTTTACATTAGTAATAGTGTGATAATAATCATGGTTAAAAATTATTTATTAAAAATTAGAAAATTTTGTTAAACATTATTATTTTGTATAAATGTAATGTTTCAACAAAATAATATAGTTGTTAAATTAAAATTATTTTAATTAATAAAATTAAAAAAAAATCTTCAATAGATATTTAGTTGAATAAATTTCCATTGTATGAAAAAATATTAAATAATATAAAATATGTAATAAGATTGTTTTTGAATAAATAATAATATAAATAATTTAATAAATTTTATATATATATATATATATTGTATAATCTTAATGATAATATATTTTTAGTTATACAATAATTTTTTTTATAATAGCTAATAACTAATAAATTATTTTACTATAATATTAATAAATATTATTTTTATAAATATAATTAATAATTTCACCGCAATTTTCCATATAGTAGTTATAATATTGTAATACTTGTAATAAATGTAAAATAATTATCAAAAAAATAATGAAATAATAATGTGATAAATATATTATATAGTTTAAACTATTATTTCTATTACAGAATAAAATACAATTTATTTTATTTCTATATTATTGTGATAAAAAACATGGTTATAATTTGTTGAAAATTATGTTTTAACACATTTATATTTTGTATTAATATTTATTATTATCTAATGTAATGTATGTAATAAAATGGTGAAAGTTATTAAAAACAAATTTATTAATAATAGAAAATGTCTGATATTGATATTTTGTTGTATAAATTTCCATTCAGTGAGAATATACCAAATAATTTAAAATATAAAATAAAACTATTTTATTGTAACGGCAATAATGTATGGTTTGTAACAATTGATGATCAAGTCTATACATTGGGTTATAACTTGAATGGTATACTTGGTTTGGGTCATAACAATGATGTTAATGAACCACAAGTTATACCTGAATTGTGCGACAAAAATGTTGAAAAATTTATAAATGGATATAATTTTGTATTGTGTATAACAAGTGATCAACAAATATATAGCTGGGGTTACAATGGATTCAAACAATTGGGTAGACATACCAGTGATGATGAGTACAACAAACCAGCAATTATTGAATATTTAATCGACAAAAGTATTATTGATATCAAGTGTGGTTTTTATCATTCACTGGCGCTGACCAGTAATGGCACTGTCTATGGATGGGGTTATAACAGATACGGACAGTGCGGTTGTGGACAACAAAATGATTACATTGATAGTCCCAAACGTATTATATTTCCAACAAATACTATAATTAAATCAATTTATTGTTACGATTTGTGTTCATTTGACATAACAAGTAATGATGAACTTGTTTACAGTTGGGGTGAAAATGATTACAATCAATTGGGACATAAAAATAACAAAAAATATTATAAACCTCAACTGATTTATGACTTAAAAAATATAAAATCAATTTCACATTATGATAATAATTATATTGACTTAACGTATTTTCTAACAACTAATGGTTATGTATATCAATGCGGTTTGGCTGATGAAATATCATATGATATGCCAACAAAACTTAATGTACTAACAATTGATAATATAAAACATAATTATATAAACAACGGTTACAACTATTATAAACTTAATTATACGAAACATACAATTGAATTGGAAAAATGTTATGCAAAAGATTTTATTGATTTGATTGCCAATGAATTGAATGAAACCTATGAAACAATTGATTTATATTTATATTTAGAAAAAATAACAACTACTATGATAATTGTTTCAATCAATTAGACATTATAGGAACGGGAGTTTTTCATCTGTATATAAAGTTGATGACAATGAAACTAAAAAATTTTATGCAATAAAACAAATTAAAATAAAAGGTATTCAAAAGTTAATCCAAATATAAATATATTATTAATAAAAATTTTACATTTAATAGATAAAAATCATAAGGATTCATCTTTAGGTGAAATAAATCAATTAATTAAACTGCAGTCAAAATTTGTGGTTAAATTTTATTACGCGTGGTTTGAGACAAATATATTATATATTCAATTGGAATTATGTTCACAAAGTATGAAAAATTTTATTGAAATCAAAGCAAATATATTTAAACGTCAATCAAATGAATCGATGAATTGTGTCGAGTATTACATAACAAGTCATCTGATGCTTGAATTGTGTGAATGCGTTGAATATCTGCATACAAGACAACCACTGGTTATTCATCGCGATCTCAAACCCGCAAATATACTCATCAATGATAAACCAATTCGTAATCGGTTTTTGAAATTATGTGACTTTGGTTTGACAACAGATCACTTGAGAACTGATACACATTCACAACTTCATACATCAAGAATAGGTAGTCAACGATATACAGCACCAGAAGCTTATAGCGGACAGTATAATGAAAAACGTGATATCTATAGCTTAGGTATTATCGGACAGGAATTGTTTGATATTAACTATAAGTATGAATATAATTTAATTATTAACTTATTATTAATATAATTTAATTAAAAAAAATTTATTTTAAAAGTGATTTAGATAAAAATAGAAATGTTGTTTATTATAAATATCTATCAAAAATAAACAAATTGTTAACATCAATGTTACAACCGGTATATTCAACTCGACCCACGTGTTCGCAAATTATTACCAATAGTGACCAATGGATGATAACAATGTCATATGTTATGAAAAATACGCCAAATTATCAACAAATTGTTGACAATTTAAGTGAACATGAATTTCTAAAAAATTATTTAGAAATAAAATTTAGGTAAATATTTTTTTTTAAAGTGTAAAATTTCAATAGTAATGTTTTTTTTTGAAAACTATTTTACAGATTCAATAGAAATACAGATAGTTTTCTGGATTCGATTAAAAATGTTTTTAAATAAAAATATTATTAATAAATTGTAAGTTTAACTCATTATTAATCATAATCACAGAAAAAAAACTTAAAATAAATTTTACATTTATACTATTATATTTTTTTCAATGTAACATTATCTTTATTATTAAAGTTGTGGGAAAAAAGATTTAAATTAAATTAAATAATATATAATTAATAAACTAAATTTTATAATAATTATATTTTTTAATATTTATGATTATTATCTATTATATTTAATATAAATTCAACATGGTTATAAATTATTAGATGAAGTTTGTTAACTGAAAAATGTAATTATTAAACAACAATATTATAATATTAATAAATGTAATTTATTAATAATATATAATTTTTATTTTAAATTTTAGAATATTTTGTAAAACATTTTTTTTAAAAAAATTATTAATAAATAACATTCATATAAGTATTGAACTTAAATTTTGAAGAGAGAGAGAGAGAGAGAGAGAGAGAGAATTTACTAATGAAATAAAATTTTTTAAAAATTGTCTTTAATTGCTGTTAATAAAATTAAATTTATATTAATAATAATTATATCACAATATTTGGATCTTAATATTAACAACAAAAAACTATTTGTAATTTTATATATAATTTTTTGTTTAAACAAAAATTGTCTATAATTTTGATTGACACGCTTTAGGTGTAGTCGATCCCTGTAATTGAAAAAACAAAACAAAAATTATTAATATATTTATTTCAACAACAACAAAATATTTAGAGTATTATTTAGATAATTAAAAACTTGTATAAATATAATATATATACATATATATATATATTCTATAAATATTATAATATATAGTATATAATATATAATAAAATATATATAATATACAGTATATTAATAATAAATATAATCTATATATATATATATAATACTAATTTAATTAATTAAATATTAATTAAAAAATTAAAAAAAAATATTATATATATACTGTATATACTGTGTATATATATACTGTATATACAGTGTATATATATACTGTATACACTGTGTATATATATACTGTATATATATACTGTATATACTATATATGAATATATATATGTATTCAATTACCCGATAAGTTTTGCAAATCAATCCCAATAGATCAGTGGTAGCCTCGTCCTGGATCTGCTGGGTGTGGACACCGTTCAATGTCACCCACGGTATCCAATTGTGTTTCGGCTCCAGACTACGGGTCTGACCCGACATAAAGTACTCGATGGCCAGTCCTTCCAGTGAGTTGGCGCAGTCGGACAGTACCGTAAAGTCAATGTTTAGATCTTTGGCACACTTTATATATATCAATAATTTTTTTATTAATTAAAATATTTTTTTAAATATATATATATATATAAATAAATTATTTATTTTTTTCTAAAAAAATCTACCTGTGCACTTGATTGATAGGGTGTCCGCCAATTAGTTGATTTAAACATACAGTTTGTCAGTCCTAGACTTTTATCCAGATCAAGTTTGATAAATGCGCATGACTATTTTTTATAAAAATTAAAAAATAAAATAAAAATTAATTAACAATTAAAATTTTTGAAAAATAAACAATTTTGTTAATTATTATTTATTATTTTTCATATATTCTAAGTTTAATGTAATTATAAATTAATATTTTTTAAATTAAAATAAAGTAATACTACTAATAATAATTACTATTAATATTATTTCAAATATTTTTTAATTAGTGTTTAAAATCATTTACTGTATTATTATATGGTGTAAAAAATATGTGTAAAATTAGTAAAAAAAATTTTGATATAAATGTTATATTAATAATAATAATAATAAAAGTCTAATATTATTCTATGCTATTCTATAAACTTAAAAAAACTTAAAATATTTATTATTATTTATTTATTTATTAAAAATATTTTTAAATACCTGAATAATATTTCCGAGACATTCCTGACCCTTGTGCTGGCACGTGTAGGTCAACATTGGCTGTGTGGTAGAGTTGCTAACAAATGTCATATCAGCATTGCCAAAGGGTACCAAATTAACGGATATAACCGGTGGTGACTCCGCTTTCAGGGCCTCATAGGTTGGCCATAGTTGTTGGTTAACAAAATCACGGCTATCCGGGCACAGGGATTCAATGTAGGCACCAATTTGTATAGTATTTGCTATAATAATGAATAAATAATTAATTGATAATAAAAATTTAATTTAATTAATAACAAAAATTTAATTTAATTAATAACAAAAATTTAATTTAATTAATAATATAATGGAATTTAAATAATAATAAAAATTTAATTTAATTAATATTATTAATAATAATATACCTGCAAAAATTTCATGGCTATTATAGCTAAATAGCATAAAAATAGTTAAACACTTAACTAATTGAATCATAATGTTGTAAATTTAGTAAAATTATTATTAATTTAAAAAAACTATTATATCTGTATATAAATTAACACAAACAACTTGTATCATATAATACCACAAAAATAACAATTTTAATGACAATTATTTTTAATTAATTTATTACGACTTTATAATCAAAAAAAAAATTATTAGGCATTGTCTTTATACACAATGAAACTTATATTATATCTTATATATTATATACTGTACATATTTTATTATCATATAAAATAAATTTAAAGTTAATTAAAATTTGAAAACCAGTTGTTTAGTTTCTCAGTGTGACAAACAATTGAAGATATAATAATAATAAAAATAATAATAATAATAATAATAATAATAACTATATTGTTAACTATTATATATATATATTTTATATTATATTATCATAGTTGATGTCATATTGCATTATTATTATTATTATTATCATATACGAGATAATAATGTGCCTAAACAAAAATTATCAAGGCTATATCAACATTTTTTTTATATTATCATATATAATATTTTATATATATATATAGATATATACAGTACTACTGTATTATTTTAAAGTAGAAATGAAAAAATTTACAAAATAAAAGTAATAGTGATTATTATTATTATTTTTATTATAAAATAATTCAATGCTATTTTGTGCTAACTCACTGTTTTATAATAAAATCACAAAATAAAAAGTTTTTAAACTATACTAATATATATATATATAATATATAGATTTTTTTCAAATATAAATATTTATATGAAAAATATATATTAAATGTTTGAAACTTTTTTTTATTATTTTTAGTATTAATTCAATGCCAATAATTTATATTTTTTTTGTTGTGAGTCATTTAATATTATTATTTAACTATAAGTTAATAACTTTTATTTTTTTAATAGTTTTTTCAACCTATTATATATCAGATTATTATTATTATTAAATTGTTTATTAATCTTAACATTAGTTGCAAAAAAAAATAATTTTTATTTATTTATTGTGTATACAATATATTATTAATATTAAATAATTGTATTTAATTGACACTATTAAATAAATAACAATAAACTTTTATATAATTTTATTTTATTATTATTTTGTTAGTTACTTAATTACTTATTATTTTATTTATTTAATTAATTAATAACTTAATTAAATATTTACAGTACAGTACATTACTCAGTATTATTACATAATATTTATTTTTTAATTATCATCATTTAATACTGTATTTGATTTAAACTGAAAATTATGATAAAACTAAAATCGATAAATAAATTTTTAAAAAAGTTAAGTAAAAGTTATCAAATTAATATAGTGTTTAATGAAACATTAATTTTATTATAAAATATATTATAAGTTTTAATACTAAAAATTAACTAATTAAAAATATAATTAAATTTAACTATTATTATTATTTAATAATCTATTTACACTTGACATTTACTTATCTAAAAATTATTTTATAATAAACTTTTTATGATTTTTTTTGTTTAGAAAATTAAATATTTTTTTTAATACTAAATGTTGTTTAAAATTATTGACTTTTTATATAGTTTGTTGACATACAGTATATAAATATTTATTTTAGTAAAAAAAATTACATTTACATTTATAGTACTATTTATTTATTTATATATATATATAATATAATTATCTAGTATTTTATATTTATTAAGTGTTAAAAACGGTATTTGGTTTCAGCCGGGACCAGGACGGGAACAAACGGGAATCTACTAGTTTTCCCGTTTCAATATCATATTAATTATAATATAGATATATTAATAAATAGTTAATCAAAAAAAAAATGATTATATAACATGTTTAAAAAACATATAAGATATATAACATATAAACAAAATTATATAATATTATATAATCAATAGTTATTGATATGTTTATATTATTTATATACTAATAATAATAAAATTTATATAATATTATAAAATCAATAGTTAGTTAATATCTAGTAATTTATTTAACTATTTATATACTAATATCAGTAATAGTAATAATATTAATAATAATACTGTATATTATGGCAACAATAGGTCAGCCAATTAAATGCAAGGGAGCCGTATTTCGGTGGCCAAACCAGCCGCTAGTCATCGAGGAACTGGTGGTCGCGGCACCCAAATCGGGCGAAGTTCGGGTCAAACTCTATGCGTCGGGTGTCTGCCGATCGGACGCATCGACGATTTGGGGCCAACGATCCGATAGTCATATACCCTATGGCCAGCCGATGATCAACGGTCACGAAGGAGCGGGTATTGTCGAATCGGTTGGTCCGGGAGTTACCGCTGATGATGATGACGGTGTCCAAGTGGGCGATCATGTTGTACTATTATGGCGACCCCAGTGCAACCAATGTCCCCTATGTCTCAATCCCTTAACCAATGACTGTCAGCTGGCCGTCGGTAAAGGTATTGTGCCGTTATGTTCCCTATGTTCCCTATGTTCCCTATGTTCCCTATGTTCCCTATGTTCCCTATGTTCCCTATGTTCCCTATGTTCCCTATGTTCCCTATGTTCCCTATGTTCCCTATGTTCCCTATGTTCCCTATGTTCCCTATGTTCCCTATGTTCCCTATGTTCCCTATGTTCCCTATGTTCCCTATGTTCCCTATGTTCCCTATGTTCCCTATGTTCCCTATGTTCCCTATGTTCCCTATGTTCCCTATGTTCCCTATGTTCCCTATGTTCCCTATGTTCCCTATGTTCCCCCTATGAAAATTTCCGGGGAATTTAATTTCCATGCGCTTCCATCACAATATACTGTATATTTTAATTATAATGTTTTTTTAAAATAAATTTTATACTAAATATTATTTTTTTAAAAAAGTTGTATTTATAAATAGTGTAACTCATTTTTTTAAAAAAAAATTACTATAAAATTTATATTTTTTAAAAAACATTATAATTAAAGCGCATGGAAATTAAATTCCCTGGGAATTTTCATAGGTGAACATAGGGAACATAAGGGCATTTTCCTTGAAATTTTATGTGAATTTATGATATATTAGGGAACTTTCCCTAACTGGGAACTGTTGATCGGGAACACTAGACATACCTATTTTATTATAAAAAAAAAAATTTATTTTATTATTTTAAGGTGACTGTGAACAGGGATGGCTACCCGATGATGGTATCAGCCGATACCGTACAGTCGGTACCAATGAACCAATACTTACGCCGTCGACTAACGTAAATTTGGCCACATTTGTCCAATACGCTATTGTCAGGCCCGAAATGTTGGCCAAAGTTGACGATCACAGTCTACCCTTGGATGTCATGTCCGTGTTTGGCTGCTGTCTGCCCACTGGTTACGGTGCCGCTCATAACATTGCCCGAGTTAACCCGGGATCGACATGTCTAGTCTGGGGGTTGGGTGCTGTCGGTTTGGCTGTTGTGTTGGGCTGTAAGTTTAGGGATGCCCTGACTATTATAGGTGTGGATGTCAATGAGGACAAGCAGGTGACGGCCCAGCCGTTTGGTTTGACACACTTTATCAATGCTGGCCAACAATCGATGGATCAAATCTATGATACGGTTCGGCAATTAACAGGTAATATATAACTCTAGTCTGGATTCATATGCACAAGTAGTCTAGTCTAATTTCATAGCATAGGTAGTCTAGTCTAGTAATAACACAGGTAGTATAATTTAGTAATAGAATAGGTAGTATAGTCTAGTTTCATAGCATAGGTAGTCTAGTCTAGTATCAAAGCACAGGTAGTCTAGTCTAGTTTCATATGCACAGGTAGTTTAGTCTAATATCATAGCATAAGTAGTATAGTCTAGTTACTAGACTCTAGTATCATAGCATAGATAGCATAGTCTAGTTTCATAGGCACAGGTAGTCTAGTCTAGTAATAGGACAGTTAGGTCTTTAAAAAAAATTTAATAATATATTTTGGTTTTCCAGACGGTTTGGGTGTTGACTATGCATTTGATTGTATAGCCAAACCAAATACAATGGACACTTCGTTGAAATGTTTGGCCACTTGGGGTACGTTTGTTTCCGTCGGTCTCGTCCAGCGGGACGATGTCATTGAGCTATCATCGGGCCGACTATTGGACGGCCTGACACTTACCGGCGGTCTATACGGTAAATACAAGGGCAAAGATGGTGTCCTTGAATTGATCCGAAAATATCGAAACGATAAACTGTTTCATCAATTAGTGGATCAATTTGTTAGCAATAGATACCAATTGAATGATATTAACAAAGCTATTGATGATTTGAAAATCAATAGTAATATTATTAGAAATGTTATAATTTTTTAATAGAAATAAAACTATAATTTTATAGTTTTTTTTATAAATTTTATTTTTGTTTTATTATATAGTATAAGTAGTTTTGAGTTGTTATAAGTATAAGATTTTTGAAAAATTTAATAAAAAATACTACAATTTTTATAAATTTAATTACAAAAAAAAATCTAAAGTTTTGTCAACAGTACTTAAAAATAAAATTAGATTTTTTTTGTTTTGTTATTTATTATTATTTATTTTATTATATTTGTTTGAAAAAAGCAGGAAATTTAATCAAATATTTGATTATTATTAATATTGATATAAATTTTTTTTATATATATATTATATAAATAGAAATGTGTTTTATTTGACAATACTTTATATACAGTTATGTTTTTTATTTGATATATTATATTATTTATTTTTTTCAACAATAAAAAAAATTGATAACTAATGTTATTTAATACAATAATAGAAAATAAATTTATTTTTTATTATAAAAAAAATAATATTTTGTTATATTTTGATGATTAAATAATGTGTATTAATAGGTAATAACTATTAGAGAGAGAGAGAGAGTAGAAACTCATTGATTACAATGTATTTATTAATAATAATAATATTAATAATAATAATAATAACAATTATTATTATTATTTGCATATATTTTTATAGCAAATATTTATTCATATTTAATTAAAATTAGGTCTCAAATATTATTATTGTTATTATTATTATTATAAATATTATTAGTTTTTCGCAACAAAAAAAAAACTTTAGTAAACTTTTTTATAATTGGCATTTAATATGTAATTATTATTAATATTATTGATATTTGAATAAGTATTTAGTTTTGAAAAATATTAAGTTTTTTAAAAAAAAATAATTTATTTTTATGATAAAAATCTAATAAATATTTTTGTGTTTAAGTTTGAAACAAACAAACAAACAAAAAATGTCTGTAAATTCATTGTCAATGATATTAATGCTAATTATAACGACTATAACTATATTAGTAATAAATATCAATACATTGACCGCCGATGACGACGTCGACCACCACCACAACATCCGTGTAGACATACCCAGAGATTTGACACCCGAAAAGTCGGCACTGTTCTGGCAAAGACAGCTACTTATACTGTTTGTTCCGACCAACGGTGGTCTAGGTCTGGTTCCCGGCGGTCCCGGAGTCATAGGTCCCGGAGCTATAGGTCCCGGAGCTATAGGTCCTAATGGTCTACCACAAGGTGTTGGCGGTTAGTTAGTTAACGTTGTTTATAATTAGTGTGTACAATACTATGCGATGCTTATGTATGTTATACAATAGGTCTACCAGTCGGTGGCGGCGGGTTTAATGGCCGACTCCAAAACAACCGAAATGTTGAACGCTTGAGGACATTGAGACGCCGGACCCGTATTAGGGTTACTACCAGTAGCTATGATAGTGGTCTTGAACAGGAAAACAAATAATTACTACATTATTATATAATAGCTACCTGTCCTCCAAAAAAAATCGTTAGCTTTTTTTTGGTTGGTTTACATTGTTTTTTTGTTGTTGGTATTATTATTTTTTTTATTATACATACCAATCATTTTATATATCATTAAATAACTAAATTAGTTAAAACTAATTAGTTATTTCTATTATAATTATATTAATATAATATATTTAGTCAATTATTATTATTATTTTCAATTATCAAAAAAATCTATCTTGGTTATTTGTAACAATTATTATTATTATTATTTTTGATTTAATAAAATTTATAATTATATATATATTTTTTGATTATATTGTTTTTTTTGTTTGTATTATTTTTTATTATACATACCAATCATTTTTTTAACTATTATTTGTCACTAAATAATTATAATAAAAATTAAAACTAATTAGTTATTTCTATTATAATTATATTAATATAATATATTTAGTCAATTAATATTATTTTCAATTATCAAAAAATCTATCTTGGTTATTTGTAACAATTATTATTATTGTTGATTTAATAAAAATTTATAATTATATATTTTTGTTGAAAAATTATTATATTTGTTAATTAATTTTTTTTATCATTATTAAATTACTAATTTTGGTATTTAAATTAAGATAGATCAATTTAATTTTTTTTAATTATATGTATTATTTTTATTTTATTTATAACTACAATTTTTGTAGTTAGTTTTTTATGATATATTTTTTTATTCATATAAATTTTAGTAAATGTACTAGTATGATTTTGAAATATAATATTTTTTTTTTGATTATATTAGTTTAGGATTTTTTTGATAGTTAAATATTAAAATGTTGTTAAAATATTAAAATTTATTTAATAGTTATTTTATTTAGGGTAAAAACATATCAAACATATAATTATTATTATATATATTATACATTTTTATAATTAAATAAATAATAATGTGTGATGTATTGATACTGTAGTATAAATATTGAACATATATATATATATACAGTATATATATATATATTTGTATTAATATCCTATTATATAATAATATATATAAAAAATAAAAAAAAAGTTGACTAACATTACACTAATAAATAAATATAAATTAAAACATTTTTTAAATATGTAATTTTGATTAGCAAAACTAATTGATATTAACATTTTTATTATTATTTGATATTATTATTATTTTTTGCAAATAACAAATATTTATTTAAAAAACATATTTAAATTAAATTAGGTTTTCAAATACTATTACTTTTAATAAATTTAAATATAATTTATTATTTTTTAATCACATTTTAAAAATAAAATGTATATTTAATTAAATTACAACAAAAAATTACTAAATATTTTGTTTTTTTTTTGGGTGATTTAAGTTGTTTTAATTAATTAACAATAAATAACTTAATATTATTATTATTATTAAAAATGATTGTAAAATCATTGCCGATATTATTGTTAATTATTATTATTATTATTATTTCTACTATTATGACAACAACTTTGGCAACCAATTCAAACAACATTACTGTTAATATACCGGAAAATTTATCACCGAAACAAAAGTTGCCATTGTTTTGGCAGCGGCCAGTTATCATATTGTTTGTAACCAATCGGGTAGCACAGGCAGCACCGGCACCTGTACAACAACCGCCACCTAATAATCAGGGTGGTAATCAAGGTGGTGGCAATCCAGGTGGTGGTGGTAATCCCGGTGGTAATGGCAATGGTTAGTATTGTTGTATATGAAAAACAATATACATATATATACTAATATTGTTTTATTAATTTTTTTTATGTATGTGTGTGTGTTTGGGTCTAATAATATGATAACCCCCTCCCCCCACACACACACACACATTAGGCCAACCCATACAGCCGACCAATTTTAACTCCGAACCCTTGCGGGCATCGAAACGTCGGGCAAGGATTAGGGTCACCACCAGTAGGACGTCGACGGCTCGCAAAAGAAAAACAAACGGATAAGCAATGGATAAGCACTTTATCACTCATGAGTGTATGTGTGTGTGTGTGTGTGTGTGTGTGTGTATGTGTGTGTATGTGTGTGTATGTGTGTGTGTATGTGTGTGTATGTATGTGTATGTGTGTGTATGTGTGTGTATGTGTGTGTATGTGTGTGTATGTGTGTGTATGTGTGTGTATGTGTGTGTATGTGTGTGTATGTGTGTGTATGTGTGTGTATGTGTGTGTATGTGTGTGTATGTGTGTGTATGTGTGTGTATGTGTGTGTATGTGTGTGTATGTGTGTGTATGTGTGTGTATGTGTGTGTATGTGTGTGTATGTGTGTGTATGTGTGTGTATGTGTGTGTGTATGTGTGTGTAGGTGTCAATATGTTTAGTTAAATGCTTAACTATTAACTATAAATAATATATATATACAGTATATAATCTAATAAGCTTGATTGATTTAATTTCCTCAAATATTTCTATACAAAATATTTTAAACAACAAAACAAAACCAAAAAATATTTATCTAGTATTATGTGTAAAATACGATATAATTATTTATATTAAAAAAAATTATAATTATATCTACAAAATATTTTTAATATTTTATTTTTTTTGGTGTGCATTTATATACTGTTTTAAACGTTTATTATTATGGCTTAGTAATTAGTCAATATGAATACAGTATAATATATATATAGTTTATTTTAAATTGATTGTTATTTACGTCAATGTATTATATATTGTGCACTTTTGATATTTAAATTATAGGGGGGATTAATTTAGCTAATTGTTTTATTGTGTGTATATATATTTGTTTATTACTGTTTACATAATAGCTATATATATATATATATATATATAGTTTTATTTGTATTGTTATAGATCTATCTATATATATATATAATATAAAAGTACTGTTTAATTAGTATTTTTAGTGATATAATCTTAGTTTTTGATAAAGGTGTCCAAAATATAAATTATTGATTATATATATATGTATATTATGTCAACATTAATTTAAATATTTTTTTAATATATTAATAATATAATTTAAATATAGAGTATATATATGATAGTAAATTATTTATTTAAATAAATTCAATATTCAATAATATAGGTATACTATACTGATATATATATATAAAGTTTTATTAATATTATTAGTTCAAAAAAATTTTTGAAATGTTTAGTAATAATTGGAGACCGGCAAAAATGTCTCTATGTTTACTCAAAAGATTATAATATTTATAAGTAAAGTAAAATAAAGAAAACACACAAAAAATTTAAGTACAATTAAAGCACAAAATACCTGTATATAAAAATCACATGTAAATCAAAAATAATATATAATAGATCAAAATTATTATTTTATTTTTTCAAAAAATGGCGGAAAAATATGATTTCAGCTGTTTATTTTGTTATACTTAATCATTTGATCACATGACTAAAGTTTTGGTTTATTTTGTTATACGGAGTTATTTGATACGCTATGACTATAGTTGAGTATATTTTGTCATATTGAATCATTTGATACCCTACATAACTAAAGTTGAGTATATTTTGTCATACTGAATCATTTGATACCCTACATAACTAAAGTTGAGTATATTTTGTCATACTGAATCATTTGATACCCTACATAACTAAAGTTGAGTATATTTTGTCATACTGAATCATTTGATACCCTACATAACTAAAGTTGAGTATATTTTGTCATACTGAATCATTTGATACCCTACATAACTAAAGTTGAGTATATTTTGTCATACTGAATCATTTGATACCCTACATAACTAAAGTTGAGTATATTTTGTCATACTGAATCATTTGATACCCTACATAACTAAAGTTGAGTATATTTTGTCATACTGAATCATTTGATACCCTACATGACTAAAGTTGAGTATATTTTGTCATACTGACTCATTTGACTATATGACTAAAATCAACTTACAGTTACTTTGCGAAAATAATATTTTATGCCGTCAAAGTTTTTTTCTAATAATGATTTCTAGCATTCTTAACTGGTTTTATTTTAATAAAAAAAATCATTTCATTTTTTGAGTGTAATTATTATTTTTATTAAAATGCAATGTTATTGTTGCAGACTTTCTGCAACCATTAGGCGTCTGCCGGTCTCTGGTAATAATATACAGTATATACTACTTGTATAGTATAGTATGTGTTAAACACTGTGTTGTTTAATCAGTAAACAGTATATATTGTATATATATATATATATATATATATATATATATATATATATATATATATATTATTTCTATTTGTTATATATATATATATTTTGGAGTATTTATAATAATAAATGAATTATTTGTTTAATATATTTATGTTTTCTCAGAGATAACTATATAAATATATAAATAATTTTGATGAATACAGTACTAATTTTTACGTTAATTTATTGTGTGTTTTATATAAATAATATACTGTATTATAAAATAAAAATTTTTGCATATAATATAATGTAAAATAATTTTGAAAATTATATTATATTCAAGTATACTATACAGTAAATGCCATTTATTTATTGTACTATAAAACTAATCCCAATTGATTAATTATGAGTTGTTTTTATTATATATATATATATTAAAATTGTATTAAATATATTTATAATATATATATATATATAGTACATATAAAACAATAGATAATTTAGATTTATGTTTAACATAAACTTCAAAAAATATTATATGAATATATCAAACATAAACATGATTTATGACATAATTAATTAGTAACTTTGAATATAAATTTTCAGTTTTATTAATTAAAAATTGTTTATTAAATGTTTTTTTTTGTTGATTGAACTAAACTTTTCATAAATAATAAAAAGTAATATATTTAAAATTTTGAAGTGTTAAAAAAATATATATATATTCTTAAAAAAATTTTAGGTTAAATAAATAAATAACTAAATAATTATTATGTTAAAAAGTTTACTTTTAAAATATATTAAATTATTATTTTAAAAAATTAGATATTAGAAAATTTACACATAAAAA